GTATATATATATATATATATATATATATATATATATATATATATACAAAGATCAAAATCGAATATTTTTTTTATTCAACATAAGCAAAATGATTTACTGAAAAGTCAAACTTCTCTATCTATAATCATTCTATATCTTATTGTAATAAAAAACTTTTAAGAAAATTATTCTGTATAATATATAAAATACGTAAGGTTGGAATGTTTGATTTATGCGCATATTCAATTAATTTAAAAAATGATAATAACTATGAACTTGTTAATATTTATTTGCATAGATATTACATAATACCGAGTTACGTCATTTATAATGTCCTTTAATCTTGATGTGAGTAACGTAAGCAATATAACGTTAGCAACGAAGAATTTATTTTTATAAGCTTTATATCTCGTATATACGTGACATTTTTATCAACAACAAAACAGAACTATATGTATTATGTATTTTTTTTGTGTACATAATGCTATACCTGCTACGACAGATAAGAAATGCACTACAAGAGTAATATATCGCATAAATGTATTTTACTTCGTTTCAGATATTCATTAATAATGAATGGCACAAATCGAAGAGTCAGAAGACCTTTCCCACCGTTAATCCCGCCACGGGCGAGGTAATCGCTGAAGTACAAGAAGGTGATAGCGCAGACATTGATTTTGCGGTACAGGCTGCTAATAAGGCTTTCAAAAGAAATTCACCATGGAGAACAATGGATGCTTCTCAACGAGGAGTTCTTTTGAACAGATTGGCAGATTTGATCGAACGCGATCAGAAATATATTGCGGTAATACGCAATATCGATACTTGATATATGCAAGAATTAGAATTACTGATCAAATGATAGATAATCTTTAGAAGTCAAATTAAGAGTATTCATGCTTTTACGATATCGTTTTCTTTTAAATTAATGCAAAAAGATAATTGTAACATATTTCGCGAACTTTTTTTCTTAAACAAACTAATATCAATAGCAACCAATAATAATCTATACGTAAAAAATATAGTTATGTTATTTATTCAATCAATTATTTCTTGTAGTTGTGTGTTAGAAATATTAAAGTGTTTTTTTCTTATACTGTGAACGTAGTAATTCATTACGTATGGTATATATCCATAAATGTTTTCCTCCATTAAAAAATTTAATAAATATTTAAGTAGCACGTATCTTTTTATTGAATTTTACTTATTTAGTTTTCAAAAAAATTCAAAATACTTTTAGAATAAATTACCATGGAACTTTTCAAAGCTATTCCTGAATATAAAATATTTCCTGGTGAACAAATTTCGCTGAAATTATTTTACGTTTTAGATTTTAGAACATTTCAACGAAATTGTTGAAAATTTGCTGAAATTTCATTGAAAGTAAATTTCAGTTAACAATCACTGAAATTAAACTAAAATTTTTCTAAAATGCTGAAATTTTACTGAAATTTCAAAAACGTGAAATAATTTCAGAAATTTTTCCATCAGGGCTTGAATCGAATAAGATTTAATGGATCGTCCAAATTTTTTTACAAGCTAATTTATTTTCTTTTATATTTCAGTCCTTAGAAACTTTAGACAACGGCAAACCTTATTCGTATGCATATAATGTGGACGTGCTTATGAGCATTGCTGTATTGAGATATTATGCAGGATGGGCTGATAAGAATCATGGGAAAGTAATCCCAGCCGATGGAAAAGTATTTGCCTATACCAGACACGAACCAGTAGGAGTATGTGGTCAAATTATTCCGTGGAACTTCCCCATTTTAATGGCGGCGTGGAAATTAGGACCAGCTTTAGCTACAGGTAACTACGCACAAATCATATATTTTATTTTAAAATGTTGCTTCTTTTATTTCACTGTAATTAAAATGAAATCTTTGGAGTCATAATATTCTACGACATATAAAGTGAGAATCATTATTTTATTCCTTAGGAAATGTTGTTGTTCTAAAACCTGCTGAACAGACCCCATTAACGGCTCTTTATATGGCCCAACTGACTAAAGAAGCTGGATTTCCCAGTGGAGTGGTCAACATTGTTCCCGGTTACGGTAAAACCGGTGCAGCATTAGTTAATCATAATAGAGTCGACAAAATCGCATTTACCGGTTCTACCGAAGTCGGCCAATTAATAAAACAAAATGCTGCTATAAGTAATTTAAAGAGAACTACGCTGGAATTAGGTGGGAAATCCCCTAATATCATTCTTAAAGACGTCAATGTAGATAAAGCAGTGGAAACAGCGCATTTTGGATTATTCTTTAATATGGTAATTTATTTTAATGTGTCATTTATGCATAGGCATCTCTTCTTTCTTTGATTCGTATGTCGTTTATTTTAAAATTAAATTTTTGCCAGGGTCAATGCTGTTGTGCAGGATCAAGAACTTTTGTTCAATCGAATATTTATGACGAATTCGTTGAAAAAAGTGCACTTCGAGCTAAATCTAAGACTGTGGGAGATCCATTTGACTTGAAAATAGAGCAAGGGCCACAGGTATATTTGAATTTATACCAGATTAGATGCCAATATCAATCGATATATAATTAATATCGTATTATTAATCTTATAATCAATAATATAACGACATTATTATTATATTAATATTGTTTTTTAAGATTGACGAGGATCAGCTAAATAAAATTATGAGTCTGATACAATCTGGTAAAAATCAAGGCGCTAACTTGGTAACAGGTGGCGAACGCATTGGCGATAGAGGCTACTTTCTTGCTCCAACGGTATTTGCAAATGTTAAAGACGATATGACTATAGCTAAAGAAGAGGTAAGCATTAAAATTGTTTGTAAGACGTAATGTAACATATCGGAATTGAAATAAAATCATTCTTTTGGTAGATATTTGGTCCAGTTCAACAAATCCTAAAGTTCCACGATTTAGAAGAAGTTATTGAACGCGCTAATAATACCGATTATGGATTAGCTGCTGCAGTTTTAACGAATGATCTTAGTAAGGCGAATTATATAGTGCAAGGTCTTCGTGCTGGTACTGTATGGTAAGTTATTTGGAAATATTGTACGAATGAAGCTCTAAAAAAAGACAAATTAATTTCGTTATTAATTTTTATGCAGGATTAACACATATAATACGATAATTCCTCAAGTGCCATTTGGTGGCTTCAAAATGTCAGGACATGGCAGAGAACTTGGAGAATATGGTCTTGAGGCATACACGGAAGTAAAAAGCGTAATTGTTCAACTTGAACAGAAAAATTCATAAATGGTTGTCAAATTCTTATTAAAGAATCATTTTATAAGCATTTTGAACATTTTTACAAGCATACACTGAAAAAAAGCAAGTATAAGTAATTTTTAACAATAAATTATAAAAATCTATTGGGTGGTTCAGAAAGTTTGTGTCGATTTTGAAGGAAAATTGAAACGCAGAAGATTTAAATTTTAGTATATATTTATTAAATTATATAGGTGCCATTCTGTTCTACAACCTTTCTCCATCTTTCAGGCAACTTGAAAATTCCGTCCTTCCAAAATCTCTCAGGTTTTTCAGTGAAAAACTTTTCTAAGTGATTTTTTACCTCGACCAAAGAGTTGAAGCTTTTTCCATTAAGGGAATTTTATAACGATCAAAATAGGTGGAAATCAGAAGACGCGAGGTCTGATGAATATGGTGGATGGGCTAGAATATCCCAACCGAGCTCCAACTTTTGTCGAGTTATCAAAGACACATGAGGCCGCCATTGTCCTGATGAAACATGACACCCTTCCAATTCGCTATTTCTGGACGTTTTTGTTCAATTGTTGTCTTCAATTCATCTAATTGGGAACAATACTTCTCTGAATTTATCGTCTCGTTGTTTGGTAAAAGCTCATAATACAGGATCCCTTTCCAATCCCACCAGACACAAAGCATGATTTTCTTTGGATGAAGACCGGCTTTTAGGGTGGCTAAAGATGGTTCATTCCGCTTTCCCCAAGATCTTTTTCGCTCAATTGTAAATGATCCATTTTTCATCTCCCGTTACTACTACTTGCTTCAAAAATAGTGTCTCCTCGTTGCGTTTATAGAGCGAGTCACAAATGCGATCCATCAGATTTTTCTCCGTTAAATCGTGGGGAACCCATACATCAAAACGGTTTATGTAGCCAAGCTTCACAAAATGCTCGTGGATGGTGGATTTTGACATATTCAACATTTCTGCTAATTTACAATTAATTTGTAGCGTGAGTTATTTTCGATCAGTGTTTTAATCTGATCTTCATCTGTGGAGGATCTATCCAGGCGTTCTTGATTTTCAAGGTTGAAAAACCAGTTTTAAACTAGCAAATCATTTCCGCACAGTTCTGTCAGCTACAGTATCTTCGCCATAAACAGCGCATATCTTGTTTGCCATTTGTATAGTATTTTTATCTTTCCGGTAAAAGAAAAGTATTAAATGCTTAAAATACACTTTATTTTCTTCTATATTCAAAGGCGTATAAAATTGACAAAAATTAACGTATCGCAACCAAATTTTTTTCCAAGTGTGCCTGAAGTATCATCTTTTACGATACGTACGTATGTCATTTATTTTCAATCGTTGATATATTCAGATCTGTGTTACGCCACCTTCCAAAAATCGGCACAAACTTTCCGAACAACTCAATATAATAAATTTAAAATTTATTATGATAGATTTTTATGATTTATTAAATGTAAAAAAATATGTTAAAAAAAAATTTAGCAGTTACAATTTTTTAAATTTATCTTATACAAAATTATCTATAGGGCATGAATTTGTATATTATGAACACATATAAAACGATATTTTTAAGCTGCAACACGATAGTGAGATAACAAAGAAATAATTTATCGCACAATGAATATCTTAATTCGTGATTATGAAAATATATTAGGTGTAGTAAAAAGAAATCCATTATTTTTGCATGAAATTGAATGGAAAAATAATGGATTCTTTTTATTACACCTAATATATAAATATTTTTTGATAAAATATATTATAAAATTTTCAATCT